ATACCAAGCTCCAAAATGAATATAGCGGACATGCTATCAAGAGCCTTTCTCGAAGAAGAGGGACCGGAAGACGTTGACTTTTCTCAGGTGGTTCATGCCATTACACTAGAAGAATTGTTGCCGGTGCTATCAAAGGATATAAAAATCTTACAAGAAGCCACCAGGGAGGATTTCAGTCGACTTCGAAATTATATCAGGAATAGCTTGGAAAGGAGTTCATAAAAAGTGTTAGGAACGCGAAATAAAGGTTTTTTATGGGCTCCGGGACGATCTTTCAGGAAATAAAGGAATTTTATTTTATAATGAGAGAATTATTATACCACCGAGTCTACAACGTCACTTCGTAAGCCAAATTCATTCAAAAGCTCACCTTGGAATAAACAAAACCGTTTCCCGTATCAATAGCCTTATGTGTTGGCCAAACATGTCCGAATACATTGCAAAATTCATGTTCCACGTGTCAAACTTTCCAAAACATTAAACCTGAGTTATTGGTATGGCATTGGGCGAGTGTAATTCGAAAATTTTTCAGGTTGTAGACGATTACTACTCAAGGTTTGGATATTATACCACTCAAGAATAAAACATCCACTGAAATTATTAAAAAACTAAAAATTCTTTTTAGTAATCATGGTACACCTGAAATTGAACGTTGTGATAACAGCCCGTTCAATTGTGCAGAAATGGCAGCTTTTGCCAAACATTGGGGGTTTAAAATTTGTATATCTACTCCTCACTACCCTAAATCTAATGGTCTCTCGGAAAAAGGATAGGTGTCGCGAAGAAGATGATAAAGAAAGTCTGTTATTCGGGAGGAGATATTTATGAAGCCATTCTAGAATACCGAACAACTCCCCTTTATGGGCTCGAGTATTCTCCAAGCCAACTGTTGATGGGTCGAAGACTGCGAAGCAGGGTGCCAGCAAGCATTGATTTCCTTATTGCCAAAACACCAGACGATGATGTGCGCCAAAGAATGGAGCTTCTAAAATTCAAGAGTAAACTATATTATGACTCAACTTCTCTTCAATCAGAGGAGTTCAAGGTGGAATAACCAATTTATGTGAAATGAAAAGATTGATGAAAAGAAATGAAATGAAAAAAATATTTTATTATTCTGGGACTGTTGTCCCTTCAGAACATAATATATATACAGATTGTATGTCTGTGTGGTTACTATTGGATTATATATTTACAATAAGAGTTGACTAAAACTAAAATTATGAGATACTAAAAATAACCTAAATAAATTGAGGTAGTCTCTGGGGGTGCTTAGATATTTCTCTTAAGTATATTTCGCAATCAGTCGGATTGAGAAAGGAGTAGGTGTTTAAAGAGGAGAGGTTCCAAAGAGGACACTGATTGAGCGTGTCGAATATCAGCAGGGATGGAATTCCAGAAGGAGGCGGCTTGTATTGCACAGGATTTGTCAAACGCAGCAGTTCGGTGACGAGGAGGATAGAGGTCGGAAGTACGAGATCTAGTGGGACGGGATTGGATGGAGTATTTGAATTGTAAACTGTGAAAAATATAGGATGGCCAATGAGTTCTAATGATTTGGTTCAGAAAGGTGGCTAGGAAGTAGTGACGGCGATAGGATGGGTAAAGCCACCTCAACTCAGTGTAATACTGGGTAATATGCGTATCCCTTGAGATTCCGAAAACAAATCGTAGTGCAGGTGGGCAGAGGCCAGGAGAACGGAATCTAGTGGGACAAGATTGAATGGAATATTTAAATTGTAGTCTGTGAAAAATATAGGAAGGTCGCTGAGTTCTGATGGCTTGGTATAGAAAGGTAGCAAAGAAGTACAGACGGCGGTTGGATGGATAGAGCCACTTCCTAATACTTGGTAATATGCGTATCCCTTGAGATTCCGAAAACAAATCGTAGTGCACAATTCATTAGGCGTTTAAGTTTGGCCTCGGAATCTCTCGAGAGTCCACCGTACACCATACAGCCATAGTCGAAGTGGGGGAAAACAAGGAAGGAAACTAGGAGCTGACGGGACTTATAAGGAAGGAGATATCGTAGACGATTGAACTGTTTTAGGGTAGAGATAGTGCGACGGGAAATTTGGGAGATGTGTGGTTTCCGGGATAGGGTTTGATCAAAAGTAACAGCTAGGTTTTTAACGGTGGTGTGGAATAAGATAGGCGAATTGTTCAGGAGGAGATTGGAAGATACCGGGTAGGATTTGAGGAGTGAGGGGGATCCGATCAAGATGGCTTTTGTCTTCTCGGCGTTCAGAGTGAGCCTATTGCGGTTTGCCCAAGCACTTATTCTGTCAATGTCTTCCTGAAGTTTAAGAGTGGCATCTGAGAAATCTGTCGGATTAAAGGAGAGGTAAATTTGAATGTCATCGGCATACAGGTGGTATTTACAGTGCAGGATAGAGGAAGGGAGGTCATTTATATAGATAGAGAAAAGGGTGGAGAACAAGGAAGAGCCTTGTGGGACGCCTCCGGTCAGACGTAGAGATTCTGATGGGGGTTATTAGGAATTACAACATACTGGGAGCAACCGGTAAGGAAAGATTGGAACCAATTAAGGGAACTAGAAGAAAAAGAGATATTTTTAAGTTTGGTTAGGAGGATGTTGTGGTCTACGGAATCAAAAGCTTTGGAAAAGTCTAGGAGAATAAGGATGGTTAGTTTCTGCTGATCTATGGCTGTGTGAAAGTCTTGGGAAATTTTGATTAGGGCAGACTGAGTAGAGTAACCAGGCCTCAAACCAGACTGGTAGGGATTTAAGAGATTGTTGTTCTCTAAAAAATGGGATAGCTGGGATTAGATTAATCGCTCTAAAGGTTTTGAGAGGTTTGAAAGAAGTGAAATCGGTCGGAAATCATTAAGAGCTGATGAGTTTGAGGTCTTCTTCAAGGGGCGTACTAGGGCGGTTTTCCAGGATGTAGGGAAGGTAGCATTTTGAAGAGAATAATTATATATATGATAAAGGATCGGAAGAATGAATGGCAATGCGGCTTTAATCAGTCTGCCTGGGATGTTATTGTGGCCCTAATCATTGGTATGGGACTTCTGAATGGATTTAAGGAGATCATCTGGTGTAATATGGGAAAAAAATAAGTGATCAGGATTAAAGGGAGAAAACATAGGAGCCGGACTAGAAGTAGGAGATGTGGTTGCAAGAGGGCAGGAGACAAAGTGTGCGTTGAGGTTATCAGCAGAAACGGAATTGGACTGGGACTGAGGTTATTACCAATGGTCAGTTTTCTAAGAATATTCCACGTGGCCTTGGTATTAGGAGAATTGTTTAGGGAATGATGGTAGTAACGGGATTTAGCACGGCGTACTGCTGATTGAGTGCTGTTACGAAGCTGTTTGAAGGAGAGAAAATCATCAGGAAGTCGAGTTCGTTTAAATCGTCGCCTTGCAGCATCTCTTTCTCTCATACACTCTCTCAAAGCAGGTGTAAGCCAAGGAGCTGGAGGATATCGGATAGTTTTTGTGATAAGAGGAGTATGTCGGTCGAGTATAGAGTGAAGTTGAATGGTAAGGGTTTCTACCATGGTGGCTATAGAATTTGAGGAGTAAATGGGATCCCACTGGATATCGTCAAGGTCTTTTGACAGTGCTTCGTGAGTGAGAGAATATAGGTTTCGGAAAGATATTGTTCGGGAAGAAAAAGATGGGACAGAGATATTGTAAGAGATCTGGATAAGATCGTGGGAAGATTGGAACGGGACCGGGTGCTGAGATGCGGCAAGGAGTTTGTCTGAGGAATCTAGGATTATAAGATCGAGCCAGGACTCTGAGTACTGAGTATGATGGGTTGGATTGTAGGCTGGGTTGTAATATGTAAAGGCTGAGAGAATGAATGAGGTTTATTAGGTAAGAATAATCGGAGGATGGTGTCAGTAAATTGGTGTCAAATTCTCCGGAGAAGATGATATTTGAGAAGGAAGGAATTGAGTTGTACAGAGAAGTCTCAAGTGATTCATCGAAAGGAATTCTAGGAGGGCGATATATTACAGCAAAAAGAATGGCAGATGAGGTTGTGAGGATTTCGTCGAGGAGGTATTCAACGTGCGGAGAATCGGTTATGGAAGAGCATTGAAGGATTTTGGATTTGAGACTGTCATGGGCAAAGAGACCTACTCCACCACCCGTGCGTTCTACTCTGTCATGACGAAGGAGAGTATAGTTAGGTAGAAGGATCTGGGAAGACAGGATTGTGGGTTATAGCCAGGTTTCGGATACGGCAATTACATGGTAGAAGTTATGGAAAAAAAAGTCGTAAAATTCATCAAAATGGGCTAGGAGTGACTGAGCGTTGACATGGCATGTTAAAAGGATATTAGTCATGGAAGAAGGAGGGGTAGCTTGGTTATCGGGACAGATGGACTTAGGAATAGGAATATTTCTACAGTAGGTAGAGCCTATATGAGCCCAGATCATGACAATACAATTGACACTACATTATTTTTTCACCAATAACCTACTTTTTATCCAGCTTTGAGCTAAATCGAACGAGCTGTTTCTGAAATATTAGCGTATCTAAAAAAAAATAAGTTTGCGCGTGCGTAATGCTGGATAGAATTTGATAAAATTGATATGGGACCATCTAGGCACCGACCCGCACAATCCCTGAAAATTTCATGAAATTTGGATGGATGGTACTAGGTGGTATGCCCGTCACATCGATCTGACTACATAAAGACCGATAGACATGCAAACGGACCCCGAACCAAATTTAATCCTTGATGTCTGAAACGTAAAAGGAGACGGATATTTTCGAATCTGAGCACATAATTTTTTTAACCTCTCGCACGAATACAATGCGAAGACCTTCGGTAGTGAAAAAGCGAAAATTCTAGTTGTGACCAGTGGCTAAACACTCTGTTTTTTTAAATTTGTTTGTGCTTCTGATGTTTTTGAAACGGTTTTTGAAACCGGCTTAATGCTATATGTAGATCTACGCATAAGCGAAATATTTAACATGTGTTATGCTAATTTATCTGGATAATTATAAGTTACCAACTATAAACTAATAAATGTAACTGCATTATCTCTAACCTCATTTTAAGTTAGTTCAATAGTTTTCATGGAACGTGAAGTTTCATATCCTAAAGTAACAAAAGCACCTCCTGATTCAACGTTTTATGTATCCACTAAATACGAGGTAAACTAATTCAATAATTTTTTATAAGGTAAAATAAAACAGAAAAATAATAATAATTCTCTTGTAGTCTTTAGACTATGACCACTTAGATAGTGAGGTGTATATTGAAGAGGAAGAAATAAGAGGAAAAAAGTTTATGCTCAGCATAGTTATCAAAAGAGTCTTCATCTTTTCTTTAATTGGCATCTTCGTTGGAACACTTGGTGCAATTATTGAAATTGGAATTTACTATGGTTCTTTTATGAGATATTCTTTATTATACAATGGTAAGGATATACAACAGTAAGTTGGACAGTCATAATCAACTATTATAATAGACAAATTGTTTTAAGATTTTAGTGTACATGATAGGCTCTATGCCCTAATCCACGAACTCTTTATTATATATATTTTTACCAATAAAAACATTTAATACAAACTCAACAATTTATATTTAAACCGGAAGATTAATGAATGGTTCGCCGGTGCCTTTTCCATTACTATGCAACTACTCCGCTACAAGATGATTTATTTGGCGCTAGTTCCGGTCGCTACTACGAGATGGTGGATGACTTCAACATCACTTCAAGCACACTGTAAAGGAAATTCGCAAATCCTGAAAGTACAACAGTACAACTTCACAAGTATTGTTCTACTTGGGTGGGATGGGTGACCACAAAATCTTATGATTTCACAATTAATGTAATTCAGAGAATGTTGGAGTAGTAACAATGTGTTCACGAGAATAAGATCCCTTTATTTCGATCGCGATTTATGGATTCCGCAAACTCTTGATTGGTCCTTTTAGTTAAAGTATGAGTTTCGGTGAGCTTCGATTACATCACTGTTTTCGACTTCCACTCGCTGAAAAAGAATTAAATAAACCTTCAACGAGTCGTATAATAATATCAATCGTTAGCCTACGTATCCTGAAACGGAAAACCTCAAATTATAAGGGGTTAACTTTTGAATTTTTTTTACTATTGCAATGTTTCGTTATTGAAAATAATAAACTAAGTATATGGTATTTAACGGGAATATTTAATATTATTGATATAATAACGGGAATGTTATTGGAAATAATAAACCAAAAGTATATAGCATTTAATGGGAGCCTTGTTACCATAAAATTGGAAATTTGCAAAAGTCTATTAATTTAAGTGTCTTGGTAAGTGAAATTTAAATGGATAACTGGGAATGGAAGCTGCTCCAAGGACATTGGGGAACAAAATCACATGAGGAAGGCGGATAATTAGAACACTAAATTCTGTTATGGAAAAGAGAAAAAAAATGCTATATGATTTCTTTTTGGAAAGCGTTCCTCTATACCCATCTGACACATGGATGATCACCAAGTCAACTACCATTGGAGGTTGACTTTTGGAGAAGCTGTTGTGCCATTTGCAGACTGTTTCCAACAAAAGTATAAGCCGGAATGTTCAGCAGGAAAGAACTATCCTATACGACGTAGAAACGAAAAGACTGAGATAGTATGACCATTTACAGAGAATGATGGATGACCTATGGCAAAAATTAAACTTAAAAGGGAGGTATGGCTACCAAAAGTTTGGATACGATAAACAACTAAGTTGTAAAAAAAATCCTTAATAATAAATAATTTCTAATAACCATTTCGAGAAAAAGCCAATTTTCAGGGCTTCAATTAGAGAGAACTATTTTTTTGTTTTTGTTTTCATAATTCAGTTCATATCTTATTTATTAATTCTGTAAAGGATTTTATATCAATATAATTTGAAAACTTAGTTAAATCCATATCTGGAAATACATATGTCCCTTTTTGAAACTAATACTTAGAGTTGGTTTTTGAAACAAACATGATAGCAGATGTCCATTTTTGAAACAAACATGATTGTAGATACAAACTACCCCTTATTGCAATATAACTAACTCACCTATGAACTCATAAATCAGCCTTAATTAATATTCTTATATCTTTTTATATATTTTCATACCTAATAATAGAAAATGAAAATATTATAAGTAAGATTTGTATTCAACTGAATTTTTACAAATCATAAGTATAGAAAATCACAACGATTACTATACGAGGTAACCCCTAAATAAATCATCCCGAAAACTACCACTATACTATCCAGGGTTTCTAGAAGGGCGGGAGTTTCAATCAATTTTTTTTACCATTTTTCCCAAAATAATTTACTTACAAACTTTTGGAGTCTAAAAGTTCCTTGATTGGGACGCTTGTAGGCATTGCCTTCGAATTTTTCAGTTGTTTGCAAATAGGCCTACAAATTGGCACCTCTGCTCTAGTTTCCTCACTTAGTCTTTCGAAGAATTAATTGCCCGCATTTCAAAAGTTTAAAATGCAGTTGGCCTATCGTTCCACCATTGTTTTGCTTCTTCCTTCCAATCAGATGGTACCCAATTGCGGCTCATAAACATAACCGTTCCAAATGTTTTGATAACTTCGAGGTATTCTTCTTTTGTTAAAATAGTATGTTTTTTTGTGAGAACTTTTTCAATCAGTCCAAATACTCTATGGGAAGGTAGAAACGACTGACCTCCGTATCACAGGCTTATTTACGGGGGGGGGGAGGCTTTCGGGCTGAAGCCCCCTCCCAAAATGGTAAAATGTAATCATGTTTTATGGTAAAAAATTATGTCTTAAAGTATTATTGCTCGTTTAATTACATTTAATAGGACATAAAGAATCACTTAAACACCATTTCATATAGGTAGTTAGTATCTTTCTGTTTTTCTAAAGTAATTATCGCTTTATAAATGAAAAAAAAAGCTTCCGGGCTGAAGCCCTCCCCCAAAATTAAATCCTGGATCCGCTAGTGCTCCTTATACTCATCTTCTTATTAACTACCATTCATTTAGTAATTTATCAACTAAGAACTTTTCTTTTTCAGCTTAATTTTAGGGAATCTACTTTCTGATTCGATCCAATAAATTAGGCTTTTGACTAATTTGATGTTGTTTTCCAACAGGATATAATAGGATTATAATATCGATTACTAAATATCGAATCACGTGATCAGAATCAGTCTATTCCATTGACAGTTTTTAAAGCAAACTTACAGTGCAGATTTAATAGTTTTTAAAACGAACTGTTAAGTTTATAGATTTTTAAGACTTGAATAGTCACAATCGATTTAACATTTAAAACTCCACACTCTACAACAAAATTAACATTAAGTTCAATATCAAACCACAAGGTTGGCCACGTGGAATGTGAATTTCCAAGTCAACGTAGAATCGATCGATAAAGTCGCCAGTGCCCCATATCATCATACAGCCGAGGTAGTATTAAATCTATATTTTTTGTAGGCCAAAGAAAACGTTCAATGTCAAAGAATTACCATTTGTTTCAAAAAAGATAATCTATTACAAAAATTGGGAGTGCGCATAACACAGCTTTCATTTACCACTTTACTTTTAATAGAAAATTTTTTTTTGGCAAACTGGGCTATTACAAAGTTTTCGAAGTACATTTTTAACTGAACTAAACTTTAAGCCTTACAACTAACCTGTAAAAGACTCATTAAGACCATTTTAAAATAACACAAACCCCTTTTATCATCTCGAACGCAGGCAATAAAAACCTTGTAACTACATTTTTTACTTTCACTTACCTATATATATATAATATATAGTAAGGGTAAGTATTGCGATCGTGAAAATTTTTGATTCTGAGTTCTCACCGAAAATACACGTTTTGAGGTTCCCTGAGTCCAACTAACGAAGTCCCGCAAGTCCCGGTCTGTGTGTGTGTGTGTGAGAACAGTCTAGCTTAAAAACAAAAAGTCGTGCGGAAGTGAAATTGCATATTTAAGGTTTTTATCAGCTAGGAATGTTACAGCTTTTTCGTCAATATCGACTAACCGGAAGTGGCACTTCATATAGTGGACTAAACACATGTTTACGATTATCTCGAAAACAACCTTAACACTTTTAATTAAATTCATTATATCAGTATAAAATTAAGTAGTTTTAAATAAAATGTGGTTATTATTCTGATTTATATTCTCTAACAGGGCTTAAATGGATAATTTTCAATATTATTTTCCTCTAAAGTACCTTTCATTTTTTTTATTTGGAACAATTGACCATATTACATTAATTTCTAATATGAAAAATGGTTCAATATAAAATATGAAAGAATTTGATAAATAACTAAAGGAGAAATAAGAGATCGTAACAGAGAATAGTTGTAATTGAGAAACCACATGCAGCTGCTTAATAATTATTAAGCCACTGTATCACCAAAGGAATACAAGCGCACCCAAGCACGCCCGAAAGATAAGAACACGCTTTCATACATATCATGAGATTAATATAATACGGACTCCGACAATATTATATAAATATACATATGCGGTTTTCATAAATGCTATTGTTGGTATTATTTAATATTTAATTGTATAGATTACAGCGATATAAATATTAAAATTTGTATATATTAAGGTACTTATACAAATAAAAATACCCACAATGAAATATAAACAAATATAGAGTCTATAATTTTTACTTTCACTTCGCTTTGTCTGAAAATACTTATTTCTGTTAAGAAGAGAGTGGTAAGTGTAAGTTGTGTGATGCGCGCACCGCACCAGACTTTTAATTTATTTAAACAACATACTCCAGTCTCTGAGCTATACATCGCTACTGTTAGTGCCAAAACTCAAATGTAACAATTTTCCATGTTTATTCTATTTGTGCTAAAGGTGACATTTTGTACAATTAGTAGTCCGCTACTATGAGAAATAGCTGAAAGAAATAGAATATGAAACTATACTAATTAATTATAAAGAAATAGTCAGTTTTTATGCTCTGTAAAAATAATTCAATTTTTACATATGAACTTTTACACTAACAGTGTAAGAGTCATTTGGAGTAAGAGCTGGGGTAAGAGCCAAGAGACATATGGAAGTACATCTGATTATCTAAGCTATAAATGAGCATGGATTGTACTACATAATAAAACTTATAGTAAGTAAATCTGAATAAAATTATACCTGTTATTAAACTCATATTAATGCATTGTAAAGTTTACTAAAATGTAGTTACAAGATTTTCATTGATTAACATCTTTAGATTTAAAGTTATCACACTGATAGTAGATGGATAATGTTGTGATTTCACAGAGGGGAAATCCATAAATTTTATTTACTAATTTAATTTTCTAAAAATTTCACATAATGATTATTTGGAATATACCGTCGATGGATACATAATTATTTAGTATAGGATCGTAAACCGCAGTAAATGTATTTAAGATTAAAAAAATATATTTTAC